GTGAAATCTAGTGAAAATGCAAATCTTATGCATAAACCATCCACATTAAAATCTATAGCTCAACTGAAAAAGCCTTTACACAGCTCAAAGAGCCTATAACTGCCTAAAAGTGGATTAGTTGTTTTTCCAGACTACATAAGTGATTCATACCTCAAATAACAGAATTGCATTCACTCCTGAGACCCTTCTATCTATAGGTAATAGCCTAAATTAACCATCTCACTGTAGATCTCATAGCTGACCTCAGTGTGCTTAAAACTCAGAGTAGGATTAGCTATGTGCTCTGTTGGACATAATTTCAGTTGGAGCTTTTCAAGCAACATTGTTGTTGTTGTTGTTATGTGCTGTTGAGTTGCCTGTGACTCATAACTACCCTATGTACAACATCTCTAAACCCTAACCCTAACCCTAACCCTAACCCTTGCCAATCTTACTGTCTCCGACACACGTATCCCTTTATCCCAGTGACTGAATCAGACCATCTCATCTAGGGTCTTCCTTTCCTGTGCTGTCCCTCCACCCTCCCAAGTATGACTTCCCTATTTAAGGACTGGTCCATGCTTGCAACATGTCCAAAGTATGTCAGACGAAGCTTCAGAATCCTTGCCTCCAAGGAGCAGCCTGGCTTCACCTTCTCTAGAATGAACTTGTTTTTTCTCCTAGGAGTCCATGGTATATTCAGTACTCTTCTCCAGCACCACAGCTCAAAGGCATCAATTCTCCTTTTATCATCCTTAGCCATTGTCCAGCTCTCTGATGTATAGTAAATAATTGCAAAGATCAGGTGCACCTTAGTCTCCAGACTGACATCGTTACCATTTTTAAAATTATCAAGACCTTAGCTAGGTACTTTGCAAATATTGTCTCCAATCTTAATAACCACCCTTTGTCTCTTCTTATCTTTCCTCATTTTACAATGAGGAAGTAGAGGTTCAGAGAGTTTAAATGCTTGTTCAATACTATACAGACGTAAAATGGAAAAGCCACAATCTGAATCTTGAGATTTTTAAATCTAGGCCAGATACACATACCTTTTAGAGAATACTTTTCCTTCTTTTAAGCATATAATTTGGGAAAATTGGACTATAGGAGAATGGATCAGCATGGGAAATCATGTTGATTTGCTGGAGGTTTGAGGTTTGTTGATGTGAACAAGAGTAAGTTCAAAGACAAGATTTAGTAAATAAACTTTTGTCTTTTTAATATAGTTTATTATGAAATATTGAATGCTTGTGAAAGTTCAGAGAAAAGGACTTTTTTTCTTCTTTTTCATCTATACTAGACTTATAGAGATGATGTTATGAAAATGCCGTGATAAAGTTATCATGAAGCTTGGTTACCTTAAAATAGTTAATTGAAATAAACAAGGTTTATAATGGTGTTAATTTTAGTAAAATTTTAGTCTTGCAGTTAAAGTCAGTATTTATTCTTTGTTATATCTTTTATCACAGGTCACTGTTCATCATGTTGGATAGCCTTAATAGCCTTGATGGTTCCACTAGCTCTGTGGGACAAGCTTGGCTGAATCAAGTCCTGCAAAGACATGATATTGCACGAGTTTTGGAACCATTATTATTGCTCCTGCTTCATCCAAAAACTCAGAGAGTTTCAGTGCAGCGTGTCCAAGCAGAACGTTATTGGAATAAGATTCCATGTTACCCGGAAGAGAATGACAAGCAGTTCCTGCCAAATTTTACCTGCAGGAATGGTGAATATCACATGGGAACAGAATGGTCTTATTTGGTATTATGTCATTAAAATAAAAAAGTAAGATGTGAACATGACAGTTATTGGCAAGAGGATTGAATGCGAGATTACCCACCAAAGTGTACTTTATCATAGAGAATGGGAATCTCTCATCATTTGATTCTGCAAGAGGAGGAACCAGCCACAACTCTGGTCTGAGATTACATTTCTCAATTTTAGTGGAAATACCTTTAGAGCTGGTACAGAAATCTTGGTCCTGAAAGGCTCTGTAGATTCTTCACTGTGAGACTCATTTTATCTCCACGCTTACAAATTGCTGAGTGATGGCCTATATACAATAATAATAGCTCCTTCTACTGACTTAATTTTTACAGTTTTAAGGACAAAAGATGTATCTCTCATGTCTCTAGACAAGTAACAGAGCAGGGAACTGCTGCTTAGCATCACGTGGCTTTCTCAAGGTCCCATAGGCAGTAGAGCTGGACTCATCCTTCATGTTACTATAGTGCCTCAGTTTCTTATTTGCCTTTGCTGAATCCTCTTATATCATATTCTACCCAGCTTATTGCCAGAACATGTTTGTTTTAGTGCTTCACCTACCATGATCTCTGCTAAATTTTCATTCTTCCTTAAGCTCAAACTCAGGTCCCACTGTGTCACAACAGTGCTTTCCCTGAGCTCCATGGTACTTGGTTAGGACTATTCATCTGCCACCAGGGGATACACTTTTCTCAAAAGAATATAGTCACCAGCAGTTTTTCTCCTAAACACTACAGAAATGGACAGATATTTTTGTGGTCTCCAAACTAGTTTAAAACTCCTTTAGGAGAAGCAATGATGCTTCTTCCCTTCATTATCTCCTGCATTACTGCTTTAAACAGACTAGGGAGCAGGGAATGAATGGATAGATAATGCACACTGTACTGGGATACTTGAAAAAGGTCACTCTGAAATGAATGGGTGCTCAGACATTTTATGTATTACAATTAATAATCTGGAACAGGATATATATTACAGAATGAATTAGAGTAGAGGGCAAACACAATGTGTATGAATGAGTGAGTGAAACCAGTTTCATGAAATCTTTCATTCAAATCTCAATTATTACAGAAGACTTAAAAGATAGTTCATAAATATTTGTGGAGTTTTATTATAACCAAGAAAAGTACTTATGTACGTATTGACTAAATGTTAAACATTATTTGAATAGTGTAATGAAATAGTGTAATTAAAGGGAAGTATTACATAGGGAGAAAATACTAGAATTTTGAGTTCAGTAAAAAGCATGTCTTTTTTAATGATTTTTAATGCAAAATATATATTTTTTATAACATATTCTTTCCATTTAATTTTCCCC